GTCTGCCACCACTGGAAGTAAACAACAAGATCTGGACTCCAATCCCAGCAGGCTCAGTTCCTGTTTACCTACTGTTTAATGCATATTCCATTAGAGCTCTGCTACTGAGACCAGACTCTATGTAGACACTGTCCACACCTCAAAGAGTATCAACTCCCTTGGAAAATATAAATGAGAATAATCCTAACGGAAGAGCTCAGCATTAACTCTCAGGCCTACTAACAAATCAAAGTTTCTGAAATTTGTTGTTAAATTCGATTTAAAAAAAAAAATAAAAAATTTGTGGTTTACTTATTATAATTACTTTATATTTAACCTTCCTGGCAGTGGCACTAGAGAGCAAATAAATCCTCTTAATCAGTCAAGCTCTTCATATATAAATTCTAGCTCCATCTTGAACTCTGTTACATATTGATTACCTCAATTATTTTGTCAATAATACCTGCACAATTACATTAAAAGTTCCATAAAACAGCTTTTTGAAACACTTTTTGAAAAAATCATGCAACTCTCCCCAAATCACTTTCAAAATCCAATATTGTAACTTGAAATGCAAACTTGTTGATTAAGAAGTACAAAAGCAAAATAAAGAAAATAAACTGCCACAAGAAACCTCTTGATCTAAATCTACTGAAGTAAAAAAATCTGAGTCCAACAGTCATTTAAAATATGCTACTGATTCAAAAAGTATTTGCCATGTTGGACTTGGTATTTACATAATCTGTTGTAAAACTTCAGGTCCCTCTGAGTTTTTAAAGGAGTGCTCATCCCTCACAAATGTTTAACATGGCATGAAATCTGCAGAAAAGTAATTTCTTTTTCCAACACCACATTACCCTTTTTCTGATCCAAAAAGTGCACAAATGGACAGGAAAAAATAAAGTTTTTCAAAATTATCTCTGAATGCACTCATGCATTGTACTGTCTGAATACAGTAAAAGCAACTCCCAAATACTATGGGGAGCTTAAGAAGTTTATTTCATTAAAAATTAAGAGAGGAGGATAAATAGGAGACAGAATTTCAGTGTCATACGCGATTGCAGTGGAACTGCCCTCTTATTATGTAAAACATTACATAGGAATACAGAATGTGGCCTCACTAGATCAGAACAAAAGTCTAAGAAAGTTAGTGCTCTGTTTTTAGAAACTGCCTATGCCTTATGCTTTAAAGACTGATGAAGGAAAAACCTAATTTGCCTGAACAATTTGGCAGTGTGATGCACAGAAAGATGATACTTTCCAAATTTTGTGGCTGTCAGCCTGTACACTTCAGCATTAAACGTCTCTATTCGTACTTAATGGCAGGCTGATGATTAGTTACTATTGATGGTTAGTTACAAAATTACTTAGCCCACCATACACTACATTTCCATATTTTTAATAAAATTATAGGTGCATTAAAACACAGAACTCTTGATATCAATATAAATATATGCTGGGAATTTGGGCGGTTTTTTCCAATTTAAAAACTACTTCATAACTGTAACTTTTTAGGATAGACAACTTCTCTTTTTAGGCAGCTCTCAGGCCTAGTGTAAAACACAGCAGAGTGTTTTACATTTTTAGATTATGACTACATGCAGTTGCAATATAATACATTATACAAATAAAAGCCACATGAATGATACGGACATGGTATAGACCTGTGTTACACCACATCTACAGGTATATATAGTTCTTCCAAAGCAGCTTAATGGAATCTTTTAGCTTATTAAACATAAATTTGCACCTTTTATTTGTCTCCATGAGAATATGCTTTCAAGGTGAGGTCTGTTCTTCAGTAGACCCTCCTGATATTATGTCTTTGGCAAAGCCTAACAAAAATGTCACTGCGTTTAAGCCGTTAGGAATATGGGAGGGTTTCAAGAAATAAAAAGAAACCTAAGACCCACATGGACTGTCTTGGCTGATTCTCTTATCATTAAAGTCTAATTTAAAACAGCTCTAACTACCTTCATATAAATTATTATTTAATGCAAACTATGCATACTCAAATAAAAAGGCAAGGCAGAATGCTTTTGAATTATCAAGGCAAGACACCGGAAAGAAAAGAAGTAAATACATACTTGTGTGGAGATTAAGAGTTTGGGGATGTTAGAATTATTAGTACAGGATAGTGACTGTAAATGCTACATTCACACGTGTCTGCTCTAAGCTTTTGTAACCTTTAATGAAAACCACTGCGCTATTTTAGAGCACAAATATACCACTACCTGAGAATGCTCACAGTCTACAAAACAAAGGTTGCAGATGCAAGTAGTTTCCTTGTGCAAAGTGAGACAGCCTACAAAAACTGCTTCTAACAGTTCAGCTTTCCTTATCATGCTTTCATTAATAAACCAAACTTCATCTTCCTTTGACAGTGTAAGAGGCTGAAAGATGTAGCATAAGCCTCGCGTTCTCATGGTCTTGCACATATATATACTTAGGGACCCTATGAAAGATATCAGATGCTCTGCACGGATCTTACTGTGGGTTTTAACATGCAGGTTTTTGTGGGTAGATTTCCTGTCTTTGCTTCTCATTTAACTAACAGCAATCTTCTGTTTAATTTACACTTTCCATTTTGCAGCACCACAGGCCTCCACTAGGTCATCACTGCTAAAATGGTCACCAACACTTAACCTTGCAAGCAGAGAGCTTGCAAAGCATCAAATGTACAAGCAAATACATCAAATATATCAAAACAAATTCACAGAAGTAGTTCAGATTCATAAAACTAAGAGTGTTTTATAGGAGTTCCTTTTAGGCTCATAAATCATCAGTTTACATTGAGTTCGAAATGAACACGAGCACAATAGATAGCATACAGCATTATGAAATTTTCCTTAAAACTAAGCATGTAAGTTGCACATATTGTTTCAAATGGCATCAAACTTGGCTGTCCATTAGTTTCAAACTGTAGTCAGCAGTTGTAACTTGCTTAAACTTCCCAAATCTTACTGCTCAAAATAGACTGATTTCATAACCAGGTTACACAGCTTTAAATTTTACTTTATTTTCTAAGTTACTTTACTTATTTGTAGAAAATATTCATTTTTAGCTCAGGCACATTTTAATTTGAGAGCAGATTTTGCTTATTAACTTCTCTTACTACCATGCTATTCCATTTGATATTTTAACATAACAGATCCGAGAGAGATGCAATTCCACCTGTAAAGAGATGATACTCTTTCCCCAGATTTAACTTTGCTGTAACACAAACCTTATTATTATGGGCTGGTAGTGTAAGACTGCCATCTAAGAAATCTAAAGAACATTTGTTCCAAATGTAGTACTGCTGACTGTATCACTTCCAAACTTGACTCACGAAGACATATTCACCTCATGCACCTCGCTTTGTATTAGACCAAACATAAATTTGCCTTCTTGTTTTGTTCTTACTCAAATTACAAAAAAAACCCCAAACAGTAAAGACTACATGATGATATTCAGTTACTTCCCACAAGAGCAAAAAAGGAGAAGTGAGGCGATTAAACGAGGTTTGAAGTGGACAATACTAACTAAACAAAGTTTAGAGCACAGATTCAACAACCTGAACAAATTTATGCAGTCATATCAGATGACACTGCTAGGTAGAATCTGAAATACAGTATGGTCTAAATTTTCAACACCAATTCTGATGGCAACCTTTGTTGCCTTTCTTTCAGAGAGACAATGTAGGTGCTAATTCTTTTTTTAAGACAAAGGCCCCTAGAGGACCTTCAAGTTGGCCAACTAAAAGACTGCACACTCTGAATTTACCATTCACTTTTGGCAATTTCGCCCAGATTTAGCAGATGGGAATAAGAACAGCTGTTTGTAAACTGGAAGTAATATTTATTCAGATTTATACACACACACAAACCACTACAAAACCCACTACCACTATCCATGTGTCTGTAATACATTTTAAATACTTGAAAATTATACTCAATCAAGGCCTATAAATAGTGAAAGTGTAACTGTGTAACAAAACAACTATCCAAACAACTATGGAAACTGAGCAACTCGGTAAAAAACTAAAGGATTTCCAAATGCCAAAGGGAACAAATTATTTATTTTCCAGTGCCAGAAGTTTGCCACATGAAGAATACAGCACTTAAGCTACATGCGACATGGCAGAAGGAGAAAAGCATATTCAAAACTCCTAATATCCTGAAGAACAACCTATTTCTAAGCTTTATTCTCATACTGTCATACTAGATTGGGGTAACAGTTCAGACATCCCCTCTGATCCTATCTCTGCTGCTGTAACAGTGACAACTTTTTAGGCAGTAGCCAGTGTACAAGCCAGTACCAATACTTTGTAAGTTATCTCCCAAACCCCCACAAACTGACAGCAGACAGTTCTAGGAACTCAAACTGAATAATACCATACTCTTATAATTTCACTGCACAAACAGATACTGCACCACCGTCATCTTCTGAATGTTCTTCATGCATAGTCCTCTATACTCTTAACTTGCAGCAACAAAGACACTGGAGCCTTCATCTGACAGTCTTGCTTAATTATGGGGTTAAAAAAAACAGTCTCTGCACAAAGCATGGATGCCTTTTTTTTTAACTGTTTACATTAATGTTTTCAGTGATTCTGATCAATGTTTCTGAATTGACCAAGCATCAAGCATTGTATTTTTTATCCCTCTCTTTTAGTCTTGCCCAAAAGAATACATGTAGCATTTTCATTGTTCCCTGATTTGAGGACTCACAGATATCCTTTGAACTCAGACTATTTTTTGCATTAATTTATCGCTATAATGACAATTAAAAAATTTTGTACATAAAAGTGAAAAGCTATTGTGCTAATGCATTTCAGTTGTTTGCATTAAAGCGGGCTAAATGAGTGGATGACATTATTACCAAACGAGCTTATTTTATCATAAATGCAATCCTTTACAACAGTAATGAAAATACCATACTCCTTTTAACGTTTTACTTGAGCTTTTTTCTGCCAGCTAAGAATTCTAGTTATGAGCTTCATTGTGCCAAGGACAGACCAGTCTTTTCCAGACACTTACCCTCTGACAGCATGAATAAGTCTCAGTGATGGATAGGCGGTTCGCACTTTCAATTTATTCTTAAGGATTAAAGCATTAACCCACTCCACATGCTTCTCTCCGCCTTTGACCATGAAAGCAGGGATCCAAAGGACACTGTCATTCAGCATGGATAGTCTACGGACAAATTTTTCTCTGTCACTCTCATTCCGAAAGCCTCCAAATGCTCTTTGTACAACTGATGGGTTCATGGTAATAAAATCAGATTTAGTTCCCACATCGGCAGCAAACTCCACCACAGGAGCTAGATTGCACCTGAAGAGGAAGAAATTAATGGAAAAATGAAAATAAATATGAAACATTAACTCAGAAAAATGTGTGCATGAAGGGAAAGCTGAAAATGAACATGCAAGCCCATTTCAATTTAACGTGAGAAAAAAAACACCAGTGATAATAGGTGTGATAATAATACTTAGCATTTTACCCGTTTCGGACACTTGTTAGACAATTTTTTAAAAAACATTAATTGTACATAATGCTTTGAGGAAAAAAAAAAGTTCTTTGTACATTTGAAAACCATGTCATCATGCTTTAAAATGCATCAACAGCTAGAGAAGCACTTATGAATAAGTGTATGCTTTCTAACACCTGTTTCCTTTCATTAGTGTTCATTTGCTGTCCTGTTACCAACAGCTTATACTCTTCAAAGAAGCCATGCCAGCCAATTAAAGTATAATTTATACAGGTTAGTCATTGCATCTTTTTCTTTTACAATACAGTACTTAAATATGATTTACAAATGAACTTTATCCCATGTTAAACGAGTTTTTGGTATTATCATTGCAGCTGATTGGATATTTTGAAATTCAGTATTTTAATTTCATTTAGAAAGTAATTTTATGGAAAAAATAATTAATCTTTTCATTTTTCCTTCATGTCTCATTTTCAAACCTTATTTAATTTTGAAGTAGCTTTGTGGTTTTTTCTAGGCTTGAGAAAAAGATCTCATCATGCCTTTTTTCACCAGTTTTTTACCTCAGTTATATAAATACATTTGTATGTAATCACACAAGGGCAGCATTCTCCATGGGCAGCACTGGATGCAAGTGACAAAATGTGACCTCCACAGCATCCTGTTAGCCTGTAGCATGAATTAGCCTGTAGCTGGTATGCTCCAAGTAAGTATCCAGACATAATATTTTCACAAAATTCAAGTTTCAATATTAACAAATTGCTCTGTTGAGGTAAAGGATGCTAAGAAGCAATGTCAGAACTAGGCCTTTCAAAACATTTCCATGAGATTATACTCCTCATACAAATAGTATTCTACCAGTTCTGTAATTCTTTTCTGGTACAGTGAACTTTTTGCTTAACGCCTGACATCTTCTAATGGCCAGATCTCCAATGTTATAAGTCAGCAGGCCAATATTGATTAACACCAACTGATGACATAGTCTTTACAGATAATAGTAATTCCTTAGAACATCATTTTAGCTCTGTAATTATCAACTAAAGAAGTGGTCCTATCTTCTTCAGAAATAAATGTTCTGAGGATCGTAAAGCCGATATATTCTTAGGAGATCAAGCTGTCCAACTTTCTGATGCCATGTGGGCAGATATAAGTTTTCTTTGGAAACAGATTTATATTCTTCAGTATTTTATACATCTATTCCACAGACCATCTGCATGTATTACAGGCTGCTAACAGTAATATCTTTTAGAAAATGGTAGTTAGGGCACAGGAAAAACTCCCACTGATTTCAATACTGACTTTTAAAATTGTTTCTAAAAACCTTAGTACATGAACCTCTAATGTGGACTTGTCAAAATCTGAAAATTAAAAAAAAAAACCAAAATCAAACCAAGGAGTTAAAATCAGCCATTTAATTCATTAAATTAGTGCTGGTCTTGAAAATGGTTCTTTTAAAGGCAGATTGCACAACATAATGCAGGATTCTTGCAGTGCAGGGTTTTCTTCAGTAGTCACACATACATCCATATGATGACATCTGTTACTTACAAACGTAAGACAGAGCTTGACACTGAAAACCCTGCTCTGTGTCCAATTTTGAGAAGCATCTACATACCAACACAACCTCGTTAAAAAGCTGTGCACCGTATGCAAAGTGTGTACATATAACATAGGTCTTATGCTTCTAATATGATTCCTTGTCTTTTGACAGCTCCTTTCTCATCTGCCAACAGCATCAGTGCCTAACTCTTAAAAGTGTATATAGTTTGGAAACAGCATATAAATATAATTTCACCTAAATCCTGAAAAAAACCCCAACACCACAGGCATACAAAATACTAGGTCCACCTACCTTGTTATGTCATTACTGCTTCATCTGTAGTATACATAATATTAAGTACTGTATTCTAGGAAGGCATACAGCATAAGCAGTATAAATTCTTAAGATATTGCATATTCAGATTTTTTAAGTATAAGTTCAGAAAGTAATGAGCAATCCAAAGGCACTCAGTAACAATAGGGTCTTCTATGAACAGTTATTTAAAATACTAGTCATAATTTTCAGGCTTTAGTGTTTCAAATTAGACATCTGATCTTAACCTTTGATCTTGTAAAAAAATCAGTTATATAAATATGGATTAGTAGCAGTGCTGAAGTTTGAAATAATGTGATAAGTACACCCGCTCTTTGAAAGGCTCTGTTTTCAAAGAAGTAACTAGATACTCTTGGCAGTACACTGCTAAGATTGTTATTTCAGTAGAACACAAATGTAAGACAACCTTTACACAAATTTCTAGCTCCGTTAAGGAAATAAACATTACTAAATTACTTGTAGTTGACCAAGTTATAAAAATATTAAGCCCTTATTAAGCCACTTCTCATTTTCTTAGAGGTTATTTCCTTCAAAGAATCATTCTAGTGCTCATTAAATTGCAAGTGTCAATATTGAATATTTACTCTATACCTATGCACAAAACTAGAAAATATAAAACACCTGCTAAAACACATAAATTGAAATCAGCACATTCTTCAGTAGGGAGTAAACGGAGCAGATATGTCAGAAGTGTTTCCATACAAGTTCAGAAGTTTATGTGCTAGTAATGAACTGTAACACTTACCCAAAACTGCTAGTACCAGATAATTTCTATTTCCATGTAAATTCAAGAAAATCTTACAGAGAGGTATCATAGAATCATAGAATAGTTTGAGTTGGAAGGGACCTTTAAAGGTCATCTTGTACAACCCTTCCTTCACTGAGCAGAGACATCTCCAACTACATCAGGTTACTCAGAGCCCCATCCAGGCTGAACTTGAATGCTTCCAGGGATGGGGCACCTACCACCTCTGTGGGCAGCCTGTGCCAGTGTTTCATCATCCTTGTTGTAAAAAATTTCTTCCTTGTATGTAGTCTAAATCTTCCCTCCCTCTTTAAAACATTACCCATTGTCCTGTTGCAACAGGCCCTGCTAAAAAGTTGGTTCCCATCTTTCTTATATGTTTCAGGACTAATAAAACTAGCTAGTGTGTATTTGCATATAGACCTGAGTATATGTAAATGGCTTTTGTTCCCTGATTCAGAGCTTTTATCTTAACCTCCAATGCATCTTTATGCTACATCATAGCTTCATACACTTGTTGGAATTTTTAAGTTTATTTTGTTAGCAAACTTCAATAGTCTCCTGTCAATTCTCAGGACTCTTTCAAGAAAACTTTGTATTCAGAGACACACATAAACATGTACTTATTTTCTTTTAAGTCAAATTTAGAAGCCTATTATCTGAACAACTTTGAAATAGGCAATGGAATATCTCACTCTTGCTATATTTTTAATTATAGCTTATTTGTTGTAAGGCACAGAATGCTGAATATATCCACAACAATGATGAGGACAGGAGGGGGACTCTGCACCAGGAGCTTTATTATTATATGCCTAGGAATTTGTACACAACAAATAAAGCCTTTTTTTTAAAAAAAGTTGTGATTGCTATATCAAATCCATCAGGAAGAATAGGTAGAAGACTATAATTTACTGAGTTTCCTCTTTGTCACATGCTCCATTATAGATACCTTGCACCTACACAACTGCTTAAAATTTGACTCCAGAGCACAATTTCACAGTTTTCTGCAATGTACCATCATTCATTCATTCTACAAAAACTTGAAAATAAGTGGGCTGCAGGTCAAAGCTGAGCAGGACAAACTCGCTATGAGGTTACTAACACTGAGAATATGCGAACAGGTTGTAATTAACAGTCATACATAGCATGGAAGATTGATTTCAGCTTTAAGCAAACAGCTGTAAATATGAGCATTGAGAATATGCATCACATTATATAAAAATTTGTAAACCTCATTCTCCTGACCTCAAGCTATTGACTCTTTCCAGAGAAAATTATGAAATGCAGCCTGCCCCAGAAAAGATAATTTTGCAAAATAATGGCTTTCCTAAGTTCCTTTCGTTTCATTTATTTTTTCATTAAAAAAAAATATCACTGTAAGTGTATTCTTTAAAACTAACAAGCTTATTTTTTTCTATGTAACATTGTTTAACCAGAAGCTCTAGCTTCTTGTTTTTCCCCTTGCACTAAACTACCGAATAGAGTCATTTGCTCCCTTACTTCTTCTAAAAAGTATCTAGAGTAGAAGTGTTCAGAAAATGGTTTAAAGAGACAAAGACTGGTATGTCAAAGACTGTCACTCTTACAGGAGGACAGCAAAAACAGTGCACTGTGAGCAGGTCCAGGATCTGCTCAGCCTCGTGGCTGAGCTTAAAGAGGAAGATGAGAGACTAAGGACCATTTGGGAATGTGAAAAGGAAATGGACTGGCGGACCAACACCCTGCCATCCTTAGGGAAAAGGAGCAGGGGAAGGCTCCGTGAGGGGAAAAGGACCCCTTGCCCTCTTGCCACCAGGCAGGAGGAGGGGAACTAGGAGAGGATGAGGGGGAGTGGAAGCAGGTACCTGCTTGGGGGAGCAGGAGGGTTCCCTCCAGACCCCCCCCTGCCTTCCCAGGTGCTTGTACAGAACAGGTACGAGCCCTTGGAGATAGAGGAGGAGGGGATCAAAGACACTGATAGTGGCTCATCCAGGGAGCTGCGGAAGCAGCCAGCTCCGTTTATTAAGACTGCCCCCGTGAATCAAAAAAGGAGGGCAACAGTTACAGGTGGTTCCCTTCTGAGGGGAACTGAGGGTCCCATATGCAGACCAGACCCTTCCCAAAGGGAGGTCTGCTGCTCCCAGGGGCGTGGGTTAAGGATATTACCAGGAAGCTTCCTGGCCTGATACGGCCCTCAGGTTATTATCCCCTCTTGGTCTTAGAGGTAGACAATGATGAACTGGTGA